ATAATACAAAGTTTTAGAAGTAATATATTTTATATCATAAGACCACCATCTTTGAGGTAAAGCATTAGACACAGAAAAATGCTGGTACACAATATTTTACATGGAGGAGATAGAATAAAGTAACTTCAGTATCAATAGGTAGTTATTGTGTGTATTTATAATTGCAACATCACAAAAAAATTTGTGTGTTGAAGGTTGAATTTTATTTTCCAAATCTGAAATTAATAGTGTGTAGTTTTATAGATAACATATTTTCTATTATCACTAATTAGAATTATATTGTATATGTGTTGTAATTCTTAATTTTAGGTAAAAAATATTATTATGCATAAATTTTTCGTAAAATGTATGTAGACAGATTAAAAGATGTTACACATATCTCTCTCTCTCTCTCTCTCTCTCTCTCTCTTTCTTTATTCTGATTTTGGGATTATGTAATTTAATTAGGTCATTAAAGATTAGTACATTTGATACATCAATTCACTTTTTTGTTTCAGTGATCTAATAAAAGTTATAAGACAATACTATGAAAAAAAGATGTAATAAAACTGAAGAACTTATACGACAATAATGAGAAAATGCTTTTATTATTAATTTATAACATTACAATACGCGAATTCCACAAAAATAAAATAAAAAATTCAATTAATAGAAATTCTAACAAAAGCCACAACTTAACCAATAGAAGAGTATACTATTGATAACACATTCTAAACTTAAACAACGTCAATGAGCTTCCGTTCAAAAGCATGATTGATTCAATCTACTCCAAGTCTGAAAGAACATGTAAAAAATTATATTTACCCAAACACAATTTCTAATGACGTTTTCTTTTGATAAAAACATGAGTTTACTTGGTTTATCCGTATTTTTTCTTTGGTTGCATAATATATCTTGTGATAGTTTTTTCCAAGTAGCATTCCAAACGTTTTCTGGATTTGTGATACTATGTGTTAGTAATAGGACACAAAACAGCTTGCGTAGATCCTTTGCTGATGCCCAATAACATGCTTCTTTAATAACTTCAATATTTTCTTCATCATAGTCTTGCAGATAACAGAAGAAGTTATTTTTTTTTCCATATCTCTGTTTTAGATTATCAAAATAGACATTCATATTTTGTTAGTTTTTTTTGGGTACATAGGCACAAAAGTTATTTTTTTCTAAAAAACGTCATTAGATTAAGCTATGAAGAAAATAAGCAACTTAAAATGTAAACCATAAGAAAATGTAAGATATATATAACAGTGTTGATATGGTTTCACGATAAGTTAGTATAAAATAATATATTCGTATTATTTATTACATTCTTTTTCTTGCTATATAGATGTTCTGAATTTAATGCGTTAACATAAATCATTCTTAATTATTACCAATCAATCTTGTGAATTAAATAAGTAATATAAAATAAGAAGAACAGTTATGAATTAAAAATATCTCATAGAAACCTGCAAAAAATTGTCAAATTTTGTTAGCAACTGTACAATATAAAATAATTTAATAGATTTCTAAATTTTATTGAGACAAAAATAATATTAAATTTGCATATCACTATTGAAACAAACTGATAAATGGTTTGTAGTTAACTACAACCGGTCTTTCGTCTGTGTTATTTATCTGTTAATAGAAAAAAAAAACAAATGTAAGAATTTATAAATTTAAATCTTTTTTATCGAATAAAAATAGACTAATAAGTTAGTATTGACATCCCTTAGGTGTCTCCTTTATATATACTCTACCTTCCTTTTTTCTTATGTTATTAGGGAGATATTTTCATATCAAATGATGTTTAGGAATATAATTTCATAATAAATAATGAAACAGTTCAAAGAAAGATATTAAATTTATATTGTCACTAAATGATTTATAATTAATATATTATAAACTTGTGCAATTAAATCATATTCAAAATAAGGTAAGTTTTTTAAAAAGAATTAACAAATTAGAAACATTAAGGTAAATTGCATTAAAACAAAGTAATAACTATGATTTGAAGTTGCACAAGTAATATGTGTTCAAAATGTTATAAATTAATAATATGATATAACTTTTTGATTAATAAATATTATTATATATATTTAATTTTAATTAAAAAGATCATATAATTGCAAACCAAAAAAAATATCAATTTTAATTAAAAAGATCATAAAAAAATCACAATCAGCAAACCAAAGAAATATATATGTATATATAAGCTTATAATTCTAACAATAATATAAATCTACTAATCAAAAAAAAAGTATTGGCAGCACAAAAAGATGCTATTGAAATGATATAGCTGAGAGATGTTATCAAATAGAGAATTTTTTTTACCAGATTGAGGAACAAAGATGTTCTCGAAATGATATATCAAAGAGGTGTACAATCAAATCATATATAGCTTCAGTGGATAAATCGTCATAATAGGATATCTGCATATAAACCAAAAGAAAAATCAGCTCTCATGAAATATAAAAGCTTAATGTTATAAAATAAGAAGAAAAAAAGTTTAGAACATTATTAACATAAAAAGTTCAGAATACAAATTTCAATGATTTCATTTCTTCTACTGTGAATGTCTTATTTATAGTAAATTGATGGACGTTTCTCAATGATTTAGCTTGCATGATAAGCTAAGAAGTAACATATTCTCTAATAAATTCTCAATAAATCTTATACTTTTAAGGTAATATTATTTTTGGAATATCTTGTTGATAAAGCTAAAGGAGAACATCTCGTGAATAGANCTCTAATAAATTCTCAATAAATCTTATACTTTTAAGGTAATATTATTTTTGGAATATCTTGTTGATAAAGCTAAAGGAGAACATCTCGTGAATAGATTGCACCAGAATTTTGGTTTAAGTTTTAAATGCATGATTTTAGGAGAGAAAATATCGTATCAATTAATTTTGTTTTAAATGCATGATTTTAAGAGTGAAAATACCTTGTTAATTAATTTTGTTTCTCTGACATCTAAAATATTTAATGAGTATTTAATTAATTAAACAGAGAAAAGATCGCAAAAGGATGTTTTTTGAATCGAGGAAACACAAAAGGTAAGTATTTAAATTGATTTCCTTTTTAGTAGTGTCGATGGTAAAAATAAATCAAAAATAAATTCTAAAAAATCAACCAATAGAATCGCTAGAATTCTTCTGAGAAGGGTTGTGTGAGTGCCACCTGGTAAATGTACTTCTCTTTTAATATATAGAAGGATTACTATACTAAAAGGGACATATACTCCCCCCTCCTTAAGCCACGGACATATACTCCCCCCTCCTTAAGCCACGTAGGATTTTTTAATCCTCCAACGGAATCCCTGTTTTTGTCCAGCTCAACAATTGAATTGGTTTCAAGTGGATTTACGTTTATTGTGTCAGCGAGACTTAACCTATGCGGCGCATAAGGAACCCTATTTTTTTCCAAATCTAATCGGGGTTCCTCTCTCTTCGGCTTCTTCGAGTTCTTCGTTTCACCGCGTTCAATTTGCTTACAATCAATTCTCCCCCACGTTTTTGCTTTTATGAGATGAAAAAGATTAACAAGCGTTTCTGGATATGAGAATGTTACTTATCTGCTTTGCAACTGTTGTAGGACTGTGGATGTAGACACAATGGGATGAATGCTTTGTTATCCTATCATTTTTTTATAAAACTCAAATCTTATTTGTGATATAGATCCTATTGTTGAAATATGCTTATTTTAAAAAGTGATCTTAACTTTCGGGTGAAACAGCTTCAGATCCTTTTCAAGTACACCCCGTAATGGAAGTAGAAATCAACCACTGAAAAAAAATTTCGAGCTAAGTATTAGGATAGTGGTGAAGACATTGAGATTGTCGTCTCCAGCTCCCAAACAAACGAAGGTTTGTATTATACGTCAGACTTATTGTCATGAGTTTTATATCTTGCTACGTGAATCAGATACTGATTTTTTTGTGTCTCCATGTTTAGGTTCTCTTTATGCCTTTTCTAAACTTGGTGTTGTTTGTTGCAGAATCACATGTTGTTTTACTTTACCTGCTTTGGTACTTGGTAGAAAGTGATGAACTGACGATATGGTTGTACTTTTTTTTGGAACACTGACGATATGGTTGTACATGTAAGAAAATTAACTCTATAAGATGTTATTCCCTATTTAAATAAAATATTGTTTTGTTGCTTGTTAAACTTTTAGAAAATTTTATTGAAATCTGATTCTGAAACTTTTCTAGAAGCTTAGTATAGAGTGTTCCCAACATGTTTTACTTTACTTTTTCTAATTATTCATTGCTTAGAGAATTTTGATGAAGCAATGTTTACACCAAAGAACACAAACCTGAGCAGGTGAATCCGTATCTGATACTTATTTGTTTACAAGTCCGTTGATTATTTTCCAGTCAAGTATACAAAACCAAAATTTACCAGTTCGAAATACAAAGCAAATATTCTTAAAATTTAAATATTACAATCATAATAGTTGCATAAACTAAAAAAAAATTATTATAAAAATATACAAGTATATCATTTCTAACAAAAAAAAAATAGCAACAGTAAATATTAATTTAAGCTCAATAAAACGTATATAAAATCTTAATTTATTTTATTATTTTTTCAGTTGCTCACCCGCCTGTAGGGCGGGATTAACCCTAGTAAATATAGGAATGGTAAACTTGTGAAAATAAAAAGAAATTAAGGGAATTTTGCAAAAAAAATTTTGTTTTAAAAAGATAGATTTAGATTTGTTTGTTATGTGGTTTAACAAATTTTTGTATCTTATTTAATGAATTAAAAATTAAAACAAAAATTCAACAAAAATAGCAAAACAAAACTTGTATAGACGTTTTTACATGTGTTCATTTCCAAGAAAGGAACATACTTGTTAGTTTGTAACCAATCAACCCCTATATTATAAATAATTCGCAAAACGAACGATCAATTGCTTAGCCATCTGTGCAAACATAACCCTATATATGCATATAATCTGTAGGGGTATGAAACACACCCAATATCCTCTCCCTCTCTCTCCCTCTCTCTCAAATGTCCTTGCCAGTGTGGGAAATGATGAGTGAAACGAAGGCATTAATCGCAATGGTAATTGTCCAAATTGGTTACGCAGGCCAAGATATTTTGTTCAAACATGTGATCGAAGATGGTGTCAACGTCAGAGTTGTTGTGGCATATCGTCTCATCTTTGCCACCATTTTTATGTTCCTCCTTGCCTTCATCTTTGAAAGGTTTGTTTACACAGAAATACATGTATAATTAAATGCTGAAATCAGCTTTACCCAACTTTTACTTAGTAATTCAGATATTATTGCTACATGCCATTACATAGGAGCAAGAGGCCAGAGTTTACATGGAGGCTTCTTATCCTGGCGTTTCTTGTGGGGTTATTCGGGTGGGTAACCTAATTAAGTTTATGTGATCACCTTTTGTTTGATAGATTACTCGAGCACTTGTGTACGATAGATCAACAATTCATAACGTATTTAAGATATAAAGTCAGTTCTATAGATATCTTTCGTTTCTCAGAAACATGAACCCCAGCATCCAGTTAATTGTACTAATCAACAATAAGTAGAAACGCTCAAATTGATACTAGTGAAATAGGGGTTTTTGCAAATTTGACTCAAAACTCATGGTCAAACACAAAACTAACTTCTTCTTTTATCTCATCTTGTTTTTGTCCTATCCACTCCACATGTTCATTTTATTTACGAAAATGCCATTAAATTTTTTTTTTTACTTTTTTCGAAAATGGCCTTTTTACTCTCTCAACCTCATCATCTTCAAGTATTTACAACATTGTCATTGCCATGAATACTCCCAACAACCTTGTACAACCCAACAACCTTGTACAACCAAGGTTTGAAGCTTTTAATGCACTTAAAATCGATACTCATACTCTCTTTCTCAATTGTTATAAACTAAAAACAACATCTCCTTCACTTTGTCTCCATATTCATGCCAAAAAACCAAGCTTTTTGATAGCAAATTTTTTATGGTTGATAGAGCCATTTAAGCATACAATTGTTGGTGGGTTACTTTCGTTCGATGTTCTGGGTGGTTGGAGAAGTCTCTGTATGCAAAGGAAGTCATCTCACCTAGTTTAAGGTTTGAAATTGAATTTTTTTCCAGATCTCTTCGCGTAGAAGACTTACCCGTAAGTCGTCTGGATGTAGAAGACTTACGGATAAGTCTTCTGGTCAAACGGACGACTTACTTCTAAGTCGTCCAGCTTTGTTTGTTAAAAAAAAAAATCCAGACGACTTAATTATAAGTC